ATAAAATCCAACAGTTGAATCATGCATAGGATAGGTAGGTGTTATCCTTTGAACCTTACCTTAAGATACATATTTATTTTACTAGCGGACCAGTAGACTCGATGTCCTTGAACTGTTATGCCGTGTGTGTAAATAATCAATATATGTCTCACATGATTCTCCCTGACCTAGTTTGGTTCTCATTAATGTATCCGTTATGGTCATGGACACTTGTCTGGTTCTGTAAGAGCTCTTAGGAATATGCCCATACAATTCCTTTTGAAGCTACCCCACTTCTCTCTCACATAGGTGATTCTATAATAATCATTAAAAGCTAATTCGTGATCATTTCCAATTTATCATCTACGACTATAAGCTTAACCTACATCACTGTTTGTTTTAGGAATGGGTTGGGGTTAACCCCCATAGTGATTCATAAATGTTATATGCAAGTAGGTTGTCCCATTGAACCTAGATCTTGGGATCTCTAGTCTACTAGGTTGGGTTTTCCTTCGCAATAACTTAATAATCTATGGGTTTTAGTCCCATTCCTCATAACGACCTCTCATTCCAAGCATTTCGTTAACGGATCCGCAATCTTATTTTGACTTTATGTAGTTATTAAAGATAATTCATCTTGAGGGTCATTGTTGAATGGTGTTATGTCTTTGAAAAATATGTCTAGACTCACCATGTACACATGTAGGAGATATTGGCTTATTATGGGACGTCTCCCAAGAACTTACAAAGTCCTTTAGTTTCATTACCTATCCTTGGATAAACTTGAAAATTTGTTCTCCTATATTTTCCAACAAATGTTGACCATTATCAATATGATTACTCTTACATCATAGTTACCACTATTGAATATGCATAATTGTGTCAACATAATACGATAAGCATATGTACTAAATGTATTTGTGAATTCACAATAACATTGGCCAGATGTAATTATGAATATACCATACACGATTCTCCTTGCAAATATCGTATTTTTCCATCCAATGTCTTCCTTTAACTATCTACATGTATAATTCTTAGGCATCCTATCTCAAGGATCCTACTATGTCACAAAATGGAATAACACTTTGAAGTATCATTAAATGGATCTACTTCATCACATGAATTAATGTTGAATAACATAGTGAAAATTTTGATACCATTGTTTTAAAACTCGATTTAAGTCATATAAAGACTTTACAATTTACACATTTTGTTGCTTACCCTCGGGTAAGATAACTGTTAGGCAGTTTCATGTAGATTATACTTCTAAATGTACCTTTAGATGTTTTGGTATCATATCAGGATGATATACTTCCATATTTCAAGAAGTTACAACCACATATAGATATAAGATCATAAAAATGAAATTAATCAAGGCATTCTTATTTTGATGAATTCCAACCAATATTATTGGATTAAATGGAAATAGCTTCTTGGAGTATATAAGTATTATTTGATTCTAAATTTCCAAACAAGAAATCGGTGCATATTTCTATTGAAATCATATACGATTAAGTTCTAACCGATTCTCAAATTCTTTGGATCTATCTTCTTTCTCTTTCCTCTTGAAAATCCATTTATAGCCTAGTGGTTTACATAGTAGAGGTACATCCACTAGCTCTCATGTGTGATTTGGCAAGATAGAATCCATTTCACTTTTAATTGCCTCTTTCCATTGACATATTTCAAAGGAAGTGAATTCCTTTTTGAAAGTTTAAGACTCTTTTTCAACCATATACATGCATAAATCATCTCCAAATGATTTCTCACTTGTCCCCTTTTTCTCACTTGTCCCCTTTTGGAGCACTTGTCTTTTATTTATCAAGACATGGAAACACATTTTCAAAGTATGATGCATTTGTTGATTCCATTAGTGTACAAGAAAACAATAAACACCATTGTTTTGCGTATAACCAATAACGATGCAACCAACAATCTAGTGTCCAGTCCTTACAACCATTGAGTTAGGTATAACACCCTTTGCGAGACACCCCCACATTCAAATGTATTTGTAAGATGATTTTTATACCCGACCATAACTTAGATGGTATTTTTTTCTCATTTTCTCTTGGGGTACCTTATTTAAAAGGTAATTAGTTGACAACACAACTTCCCACCGACATTGAGTGTGGCAACCCAAAACATAAGCAACAACATGACATTCATCATTTCATTTAAGATATGATGTTTCCTTTCGGCGATGCCATTTGTTATGGTGAATAAGGTGCCTGAAGCTCATGTTTAATACCATGACTTGCAAAAAATTCCTCAAATGGTGATGCATATTCACCTCAACATTCACTCTTTTTGTTGAGATGATTCTCAACCTCACTTTTGTATAATTTAAACTTGTACATCTTTACTTTTAAGTAAATTAACATAACAAAGTTTAATGCAATCGTCAATAAAAGTGATAAAGTACTTATATCACCGTTATATGGATTCGACTTCATATCACACACATTTGTGTGAATTTATCCAAGGGGTTTAGTTGTCCTTTCAACAAACTTGAATGATTGGTGTGTTAAATTTGACTCAACACAAGTGTTGCATCCATATTTTGACTTATATGAAAGTGAGGTATGTGTTCAAGTTTTATTAACCTTCTTAACATGTCAATATTAATATGTCCAAATCTAGCATGTCACACATTAGAAATTTAAGCAAGTAAGCGGAAGAGTTATCCAACTCATTGATATTAGGCTCATTAGCCAATATATGGAATTTAAAAATCCACCATCCTCATAGACCTTGCCTACAAACATACTTTTCTAGGTTAGTACAAACTTATTGGACTCAAACACCAAGCAAAATCGATGTTTGTTCAAAAAAACCATCCAAACACTAAGTTCTTCTATGGAACATACAACACATCATTAAGTGTTAGTGCATAGAATCACAATTTCAAGAATAATTTTTTTTTGCCTCAACTTGGACAACCTTATAATTCTTGAGTCACTCCCTCTTTGAGCACACATGGCGTGTAGCACCCATATCAATCATCACTCAATGAAGTTAGCATCCACAGAGTTTACTTCGGAAATCGTTCCACTTTGGATGGTGACATTTATGAAATCATTTATACTCTAAATATAAATGTTTAGAATTCTAATTTCCAGAAAATATGTTTGCCTCTTGCTTGGACAAAACTCAACATAATTAATAATCTATATTTGAACAATTATGAAACATGATTTCTGATGCATAAATTCTGAAATTTGATTTCTCATGCAGAAAACTGATGCATAGATTATGATATCAGAAAATATGATATTTTCTTTCAACAAAACTATTTAAAATGTGATGTTTTAAGTAAAACCAAGCTGTTTTTCTAATTTCCAAAACTGTTTTACATAAAATTGAAGTTGTTTTTGACTAAACAATGCCTTTTTGTTTTTCACAAAACAATGTAGTCTGTTCAAGACTGCTTTCGCCCCGCTTAAACCTGTGAAAAATGTAATCTAAGTTCATAATCAACTAGTCCTGTCTCTTAGCTTTCCAGGGACTACTTTCACAAGTTCATACGATTTTTCTACAATTTATTATGAATTTTACAAAACTATGTATCATAGCTTCTAAAATCTAACCACTCAGTGAAAATTGTATTTTTCACCCTAGTTAGTCTTGTTTACAGATTTCGGCCAAAATTAATGAAATGAAGTAGACTCATATACCAAACTTTAAGAATTGGTTTCAACAAAAAATGAGCATCCATGACAAAGTTATGATTTTTCAAAGATTGGGACAGATTAGAACATTTCACAACAACACGTAAATTGTGTTTTTAAGTTAAGCTAGCTTCTTAATCCATTAGGTACTTAATGAAATCAGTATCGAAGCTGTAAAATTCGATACTTAACAAAAAAAACATGTCTTAATGAATTATTGTCCAAAGGTGCTTCAAAATCACAAAACAATCCATTTTTTTCTTATGAAAATCGTACAATATCAAAATAATGTAAGTAAAATTGTTTCCGATTTCTAGTTCGATTCGTACAAACGAATTTTGCTTTAAGATTGTAGGAATAATATTTCGGAAATGTACGAAAACAAATAAGAAATAGGAAAAAGTTGAGGCATGTGTTTAACACATTGTCCTTAAAACATATTCGCCCGCTATCGGGTGTTTGTTTCCCAAGATACAACAACTAGAAGTGGTTCTTCTAGACCACCCGAATCCTCATTAGGCCTGGATTTTACCTTTAATTCAGCAAGAAAACTAATAACATATAATGGAAAAGAAGAGAGTTTTTGTATTCTTATTGGTGTGCTCAAATGGTTGTATAGCAGTAGTATTTATACTGCACATTTTATAACCTCCCATTTAAACACCTCTATTAATCACAAAATTAATGTGTGTTAATATGTAATTAAATTGTAATATTAATTACAATTTCAGTTACAAAGAAAAGAAATACTTGCAAGAAAGGTCCCTGGACTTTTCTTTTCTTTCTCCCAACCATTAAACTTTTTTATTTACTTCTTCCAACACCCTTACTTTAAGGATTAATTTCTCAATCATATAAATCCATTTTGGACGTGTTAAAGAAAATGGGAAAAGCCCATTTTTATAAATTGGTTAACACCAAATTTCCAACATATATATATATATATATATATATATATATATATATATATATATCATACATTCTTACTAATTAAAATCGTCTAAATAGTATTATATATATATATATATATATATATATATATATAGATATATATATAGATATATATTATATATATATAGATATATATATATATATATATCAAGGTTGCAGAAATCGCTTGACAGTAGCTCGACGGTCGACTGGGGTTAAGGGATTAATCGGTCTCGACGGGGATTAATCGGGGACCATTATTTATTAATAAAAAATTAAATATATACTAAGCAAATAACCATAAAAAAGTCATAACTAGTATTTAAACATTTAAGTCATAATCCCTTATATTACAAGTCCAAAATAAGTTTAATAATAATAGAAACACACATTTTCATATATTTAAATGTCCATATTTTTTTAATCTTCAAGTTCTTCCACTATTTGAACTCCATCCGACTCATATTCATCTTCTTCAAACATTTTCTCATCATTGTCGGATTCGAAATCTTCATCAAAAGTTCTCTCGGTGTTAAATCTCGGTCGGATAATTTCCCTTTTCTTGGTGTGGTTTCTCATCATAGCCAAGGTTTTGTGGTGAGCATAAATGAAGATGGTTAATTTCTTTGCTTGATCTAAGACTTTCTTAAACCTTGGAAGTCCACTGATACCTTGAAAAAAAAGATTATATAACAAATTAACGAACTATAGTATAAAATAAGACATGTAAAAAACTAAAATAGTAAAATAATGTAATAAAAAATATAAATACCTTCGAGCATAAGGTTAATTGTGTGTGTCGCACTTGATGTCCAAAAATAGTTGGTCTTTTCTCTTGTAGTAACTTTGCAGCTCCCATGTTATTCGTGGCATTATCGGTCACAACTTGAACAACATGATCGGGACCAACTTGTTGAATGCAAGATTCCACATAATCATATATGTATTGGCTTATATGTGATTCTTTGGAACATTCTTTTGATGATATAAAAACGGTACCCATTCTTGAATTTACACATAAATTCATAATGCTCATTCTCTTTCTATCAGACCAAGCATCTGTCATGATCGAGCATCCAATCTCTTTCCATTCTTCTTCTTTTTTTCAACAAACTTTTTGTTCTTTTAACCTCATGCTTTAGAAGTGGGTCACTCAAAGAATACCTGGTAGGAGGTGGGAGCCCTGTTCCAAATTGGCCAACAACCTCCAACATCATTTTGAAGCTATCATCTTCCAATGCATGAAAAGGAATTGCAGTTTTATATGCCCACCTACTAATGAATTTATGACCCGCTAAAATTCTTTCTTTCCGAACAACATCGTTAAGATCAACTTTTTTTTCCCTTTCCCTTCATAATTTCAGGGTTTATTTTGTTTGCATAGCCATCCATGGGGCCTATATAACTTGGTGCTTTCATCCCTAAAGAATCTTCTATTTCATCCATTTCAACACTATCATTTAACACTTTTATTGCCTCCGATCTTAAGGCCTTACCATGTTCGTGTTTAGCTTTCTTTTTTTTTATCTTCCCTTCATTAATAAAATTCCGCATTCTCAATTGATCATCTTTTGTAGAGTTTGGACATCGACTTACATTTCCCGGCACATGACCAATATGTTGTTTCAATCTAGTAACCCCCCAGTAAACACTTTTCCACACAAGTTACATTTCTTTGTATCCATCTTGTTTTTATCCAGGCAAAAACCATATTCCCAACCAATATCATCCGAGTTCCGTTTATGAGCACCGCTTGCGGTTGATCCCACCGATGGTAAAGTCGAATTTTTGGATGTCATGATTGGAAACTCTTATATACACCAGAAAAATACATCAAAAATGCACCAGAAATCATACCATCACAGCATATATCTTCAGAAATCAATCAATCATAAATTCATAATAAGTTAATAACACAACAAACATGCACCTGAACTACAACAAATCATCAAAAATCAGCATAAGAACTACATATCAACATAATTCTTATTCTCATTAAAAATTAGCATAACAACTAGATAATAGCAAGTCAATAAGCATTTTTGGCTGCATAAATCAAGAACAGATGCAACTATGCAAGAAATTCAAACAGATGCAAGAAATACTGAAATACATACAGATTCAGAAAAAAAGTTTGGTTTAAATTTGTAAAATACTGAAATACATACAGATTCAGAAAACAAGTTTGGTTTAAACTGTTGCTCTGTTTACATTAGCCATGGCTGCTGCTACTGGTTTGGGTGCTTTGCCATTCTTCTTTGTTGAACTTGATGCTCAATGAGCAGGAATATGTAATGGAATGGCTGCGGGAGTTATGTTAACAGCAAGTTTTGATTTGATACAAGAAGGACGGGATCATGGTAGTGGTAGTTGGGTTGTCATCGGTACCCAGCAAACAGATTGGAGTATTCAACATTTTTTAGAATAAATGAAAAACACATAATCACAGATATAGCGCCTCAAGGTGCTGGAAGAAAAACGAATTTAGATGGGAGAAATACGAGATTTGTTTTGGAGGAAAACGAATTCGGTGCAAGGAGAAACAAAAATCGCATACCTGAAGGCTGAGTATCTATTCGCTGGAGGTTCGCCGAAGTATCTCTTCGCTGGATGTTCGCCGGTGCCCAATGGAGGTTCGTCGGAGTCTGGTGGGCGTCGGCTTCAGCTGTATCGCCGATGTAATCTCTTACGTTTGATTCAACGGCTGAAAGAGAAGTCAAAGACAAAAACGGCGATGAAATGCGATACTAGGGTTAGACGAATTGACATTTGACTGCCTTTGGAGCCTTTTTTTTTTAATTGTGACCACCTTTGACATTTGACTAATTTTGACTTTCAATGACCGTCGTTGACCGCCAAGACCGCCAAGCCCGTCGTTGACCGATATTGACCAATTACCTTCAAACACTCCTAATCCTAATCGGTTGGAGAACGCCAAACGATTAATCCACGATTAATCCCGATTTCTGCTACCTTGATATATATATATATATATATATATAATATATATATATATATATGAATCATACATAATTTGTTTGATATATACCTTTTTTTGTATATATATATATATAGATATATAATATATATATATAGATAATATTATATATATATATATATATATATATATCTCTCACACAAATTATGTATGATTCATATATCTATATATATATATATATATATATATATATATATATATATATATATAGCTATATATATAAAAGAAGGGTGAAAAGGGTGGTAGGCTCCAAAGGGACAGAGTTGTTCGAGGCAAAGCATATTTATGGAACATCTTTGTGGGATTATGCACCGACATAAATAGCATGTTGTTAGACTAAATGGTGACATCTTATTATTTTTAGCTACTACAATTTACCAACTCTATGTTAATTTGGTTACTTCACTTGGTAGGAACTCATTTCTTTTGAATATGAATGTAACAAGATTTGAAGTACTTATACCCATATTAAATTTGCTTTTAAATAGAAATGTGCTAGGGCTTGATTCCGTTGTAAACATTCTTGCACAATGTAGGTTATTGTATGTAACATCGTTCCAAGAATATATATATATATATATATATATATATATATATATATATATATATATATATTATATATATCTATATATATATAATGTGGATGGCCATTTATGGTGCGGACGCGTGGATAATGTTATTCTGTGAGAGTGACTAAGAAAATATGTTGTTTGATCATGTGGATACGTTCAACCTCATATAAATATTTTTATTATCACGTATTCTCATTAATTAAATAATCTATAAGCGTATATATATTATATATATATATATATCTATGATATATATATATATATATATATATATATATATGATTCTCATTATGTCAGAATGTGTTATTGATAATTTTATTTTGTAAGAATGAAAATTCATTGTTATTTTGTTCAAATGAAGTCGAAAATCACAATAATTTCTTTACAAGAACATCTAATCGAAGTAACATCTTCGTTAATTGAAATGAAGGCTAGAATCTGATTATATTCTACTTTCTGTTTATTTATTTTTTCATAATCCGTGTTCATTTTAACTATTTCACTGTAGTTTTTTTGTTTTTTTTTTGTTGGTTTTAGTTATAGATGATCACTTTTGTTTTGATTTAGTAGCTTTTCATCTTTTTACTTGATTTTGGCAATATGTTCATTTTACACTTCATTTTTTTATATTATTTATGTTTGTGGTGATTTTTGTTATTCATAGTTGTTTTAATGCATACCGAAAGAGATTTCAAAACAAAGTATGTTAGGAAATTTTTTTTAAAAACAAACACATCACGAATATGGCATAAGGGATGCTATTGAAAAATATATAGTTAGAAAAAATCGATGTTCAAAGAGGTGTATGTTATGTTTTCTACTCATATTCTTTTTTTGTTCAAACTGCCAATGTTCATTTTTATTTGTGATCGTAACTGATTTTGGTCTTTTTTTTATTTCTATGTAATCAATGTGAATTTGAAGATGATTCTCTTCAAGGTAAAGATAAAAGGTCAATTAAAAGGAATAATAAATGTATGTTTTGTAATCATTAGTCATTATGTGAGTTAAAATCGTAGTTTTATATATAGAGAAAGGTTATATGAAAAACAAAAAAACCTAAAAATCATAAAAATGTATTAAAAAATTACTTAGAGATCACAAAACTTTTTTTTGACTTTACACATCAAAAAATCGCAGTTTTTTTAAAAATTTTGCTGAAAAAAAAAATTAAAAAAACGATTTTTTTTGGTTTTTTTTAAAATTTTTTCACCGAATTTGTTAAAAAAGTTACGAATTTTGTATATATAAAGTCAAAAAAAAAAGATTTTTGATCTCTAAGTATTTTTATTATGCATTTTTATGATTTTTAGGGTTTTTTGTTTTTCATAAAACCTAAACCTCTATATATATATATATATATATATATATATATATATATATATATATATATATATATATGTGTGTGTGTGTGTGTATGTATTTAATCATATGCATTTGTGTTGTAATCATCAATGATTATGTCAATTTTTATATTCATTGACATTTTTAGTTCTAGTTATATGTTTTTACTTTTTTCTCCTTTTGTATTCATGAGTGACTTTGTACATTTGTAGTTATAATCCTAATTGATTGTGTTGATTTGTATATGTAGGAAATCAATATGAATCTAAAGGTGATACTCTTCAAGGTAGAGTGAAAATGTCGAAGAATAGAATTGAAAAATATGTTGTAATCATAAATGATTTTGTGAATGTTTAAATTGAATGAAATTTTTAGTTCTAGTTATATGTTTATTTGTAGAAGTAATCATAAATGATTATGTTTATTTTTATATTTATGAAATCAATATGAACGAGAAGATGATGCTCCTAAAGGTAGAGAGAAAAGGTTGAAGAAGAGGAATGATAAAGGTATGGTCCCTTAACATGAGAATACTTCGTCTTCTTGTTTGCACCATTCCTAATTTCCAAGTTAGGAGCAGTAGGTTTGGAGCTTTTGTTCTTAGCTAAACTAGCTTCGATGGTTTTCAACATACAATGAAGCTCCATAGGGTTCTTGTCGAGATTGTTCATATTATAGTTCAAGACGAACTGATGATCCGAACTAGGAAGCGAGTTCAAGACCATGTTAATGGCCAACTCCTTTGGAACTACGACAACCAAATTCCCCAGTCTGTCAATGCACAACTTCATATTTTGAACGTGCGCCCACACAAAATTCCTATCTTGATATTTGCATGCCATCAGGGATTTGACGATCTTGAATCTTTCTTGCCGAGCTTGCTCTTGGAACATTTCCTAGAAATGCTTGTTTATTTCAAATGCCCCAAGACTCACGAAAATTCTTTTGAAGCTCAGGAGACATGGTCACCAAAATAATGCAAGCAACTTTTGTAGATTCATCATCATGTTTGTTGTAAGAAGCTATATATTTTTTTAGAGGATTCTTCATCCACATAAGGGAGATTCTTTCGAGGACATAATCTTTGCCCTCGTACCTCAAGGCAATCCTTAGGTTACGAATCCAGTCCAAGTAGTTTTGATCGGCGAGTTTCTCCTTGTGTAGGATCAAGATGAGAGAGAAGTTCTACTTTGTAGAGGAAGGAAAGGGAGGTGGTGGAGGAGGATTGTAAGGTCATACCTTATGATCTGACGAGTCAAACACTTTATACTCTGATTGCCAGCGCCAACGCCAACATCAGCATCAACACCAACGCCTCTAGCCTTATAAGCGTCAACGTGTAGATAGTTATCTTATGTAATATTTTTTATATTATGTAATTATATGGATATGTATAGAATAGATAGCATATCCGATATCTTTGTGACAAGGATCAATTTTAAGTATATATTAGATACAATCCCTTCAATCAAGGGATATACTTGTATAGTTTAGTATATATTCAACATTAGGGTGAAATCCTAATGTGAACGTCTTGGTGATCGTCTTTGTGACAACACGTTTTCTTGGTGAAAACAAACCCTTTCTCTGTGAAAGACAATATGGTGAATTTTTTGTGTTCTTTACTTTTTGTGTTCTTTATTTTGCTTAGTTTAGTTTGTTCTTGTTTATTATACTTGAAGTGTATCTGATCGATACAAACCTTCAATTGGTATCAGAGTGGGTTTTTGATAAACTCAAGTAGTCATGTCAACTTCCTATAATCCCAAATCTTTCGGTCTCAACAAAATTCCTCCTTTCGATGAGCATAATTTCGCCATATGGAAAACCAAGGCCATGATTGTTCTTGAAACCATAGACTATGAGATGCTTAAATTTGTTGGAA